TTTGGACATCCTTGTTTTCATATGATTCTGACTTTTGCTAAACTCTTCTAAACTCTTTTACACTGGATTTTTCTACTGATTTTACAATGACACGGCAATCTTCTTTCATGCTTAACATGTTCGTATGCTCCTTATAAATGATGAACTTTCCTCTAAAGTGGCTTTCGAGTTTGTGATTAGTTCAGACTCCCTTCTGAATAGGTCTGTTTGATTTTCTTTCCTTGTTTGCTGATTTTCCCTGTGACTCGACCTAAGTTAAAACCCTTCAGAGCTTTTGCGACTTGGTTCATTCATGGGTCAGTAATTACAAGATCCCTGATTCTTTGATTTACTGGTTGTCAATTGATTTTCTTACCTTATTTGTACAACCATGTACTTCAAAACCCTGTCCTTAAATAACCTTTTATGTATTCGCCCCTAATTGCATGTTGTGCACAAAGTGCTAATTCAAATTTTTTCCTTAAATTGTTTTTACCCGTTTGAATTTGAATCCCTTAATTAAGGGAAGTCTTGTGTAATTGATGCTTAATTGATACTCAGTTCCTTAACTATTTTCTTACCTTATTTCTGCCTGATTTCCAACACTATAAATGCACGACTCTTTCACAAACTCAGACACAATTCAGAATCCTTCTTAACTCATACTCACACAATAATATTCTCTTCTTGTCTGCACTGTGGCCCGTTCACAAGACCTACTGCTTTTTCTTTGTTTGTTTCTCTGAAACTGGTATGTCCGGATTTAATTTTTAGCACTACAACAATGTGTATTTACTGCTTGTGTGTCCATGTTTGCTTGCTGTTTCTGTATATCTCAGCACTTAAATTGGCATGCTGATCTCTTTCTGTTTGTTTGTTATGAACCCCCATTCCCCTATCACCCCTATGTGTTTTGAGTTATGACTTAAAGCATGGCAATGTAAGTTGTTGTCCATGAATTAAGTTTGATCCATGGGGGTCTTAACCTCTAAACAATATGTTCTAACAGGCCTAAGGGTGTGCCAGCATCTCCCATTGCTGGGTATGCCCATCAGCCTGCCTTTTTGCCTCTTGCAACTCCCCCATTCCCCTATACCCTTATGTGTACTGATTTAAGTTGTTTCCCTTTTCTCTTTCCCCTTTTAGAATTCTGCTTATGCACTTGCACTCTCTCTTAGTCCTTAAGTTTTGCCCCCCTCTTGTGAGCCTTGCCTTGGGACCTTGAGTTCCCTCTGAACTTGGACACCTGAGGGCTGGCCCTTCCACACTACACTATGTCTTAATCTGGTGATACATTTGGGTGTAAGCACTGCCCGGAGTTTATATGAGACTCTTAGGAAACTTTAACACACCCCAAATGGGAGAAAGGCTTTGAAATATGATCTCTTGGAGTTGGTTTACTTCATACTTCAGACAGGAAGTCTAAATCAGGCTCTCCTTGGTTGTACTTTTTTGTTTCTGATGTATTTTATTTACTTTACTTCTTTTTCTGGGCTGTAATAACTTTGTAATAAAACTCTCGGGGATGGCTAGTGAAAAAGGGAGGGGTAACCATGTATGCAAAAGGGTTAGATATCCTGCCTATAGGAGTTTCTGAATTTCTGCACTCTCATATAGATATCCTGCCTATAGGAGTTTCTTAATTTCTTCATTTTCATATAGATAACTTGCCTATAGGTTATTTCTGAATTTCTGCACCCTCATATAGATAACTTACCTATAGGAGTTTCTGAATTTCTGCACTCTCATATAGATAACTTGCCTATAGGTTATTTCTGAATTTCTGCACCCTCATATAGATAACTTGCCTATAGGTTATTTCTGAATTTCTTCACCCTCATATAGATAGCTTGCCTATAGGTGTATTTCTGAATTTCTGCATGCATATAGAATATATGCCTATAGGTCTTTCTGAATCTTGCATACACATTCTTCATCAGGCAATCATGTTTATAGGTCTTAATCAATCAACTGCAAGTAGATATCATGTTCATAGGATTTAAATGAAATTCAGCACCTAGATATCATGCTTATAGGTTTTCTGCATTTTACCATGTCTGTTAAAAAGTGTTTAAAAATCAACAACACATAGAAAGCATGCCTATGGGAACTATTAATCAAGTGTGAATCGCTTCACTCGCTTATAAGTCTAAAACCAGTAATAATGACGCAGAATTTATGATCTCTCGCTAAAACTTGCCTTTCTTTAATAACTGACAACTTTTCCTCAAATCAGTATGTATTCAGTTTACTTCATTGTTTCTGAAATCAGTAGATATCATGCCTATAGGACCCTCGTCCAACACTTAGGCAAACCATAGGGTAAACTTTATAAACTGAATCAGATTTTATTAGCTACAACCAGCAGGCAGGCCTGATTCGGGCTTCTTATCTGAACTATGTAACAAATCAGTCTGCCTCAACCTTTAAGTTTTAATTAGACCTTAAACAGTATGTGTAAGTCATGTTAATCACTTGCTTTCTCTGTTTAAAGGAGGTGTATTTTAGCCTTTTATTTGTTTATATGCTTTCCCCAAACTTGCTATATGTGTTTTTGCCTATCGCCTTAGTATTTTACCTTTTGAAACCACAAATAAGCCAATATTTCCTCCCTTTAGGATTAGTAGTCCCAAGTACCTCCGGGGCTGATAGGATTAGGGTGGGTAATAGCATGCAATAAGTAAACGAGACCATTCCGCGCTCTAATACCCTAACGGGGTGGGAAAGGGTAGATATGGATATGATGACCACGCGATAACATCACGTGTAGCCCCTCACTGAGGAGTGATTACCGTGTGTTGTGTGGGGTGATCCATATTATTTATAAACCTAGGACCCCCCCCCCTCCCTTGTTTCTTTGTTTCTTTGCTTCTTCTCCAATTTCAAACCATTTCTTTAAGAAAAAATCAGCTTTCTTTTGGTTCTTTCTAACTATGTTGATTTTTAACCATTATGTGAAAATTCCCTTTTACTTGAAGTCTTTATTTGCCTATGTGTTATTTGCGCTTAAGTTCACAACAATAGTCTGGCCGGGAACCACACTAGTGGATCTTGAGGGGTGCCTAACACCTTCCCCTCGGGATAATTTCAAGCCCTTACCCAATCTCTTATTACTTAAATCAAACCCTTCTTAGTGTCCTAATGCACTTTAATCATTAGGTGGCGACTCTTCAATTCAAACCCAATTCCCCAAAAGGGAACGAGTTGTCTTCCTAAATGTCATAAACCCAATTTCGCAAGAAAAAGGGGGCGCGACAGTGAGCAGGCACTTGATTCATGAAGGAGAGGTAAGTCTGGATCTCTGAGATAGGGTAATTAAGCCGGTTAGGAATATTGCGTGGCTCGTGGGAGTTAACTCTTGAGGCATGGATAATACACTAATGTACTCAATATATGAGGAATATTCTTAGTGTGATGAGTTAGGGAAATCGCTCGGGGAAGTTAGGCCTCTGTAGAGTGTGGTTTGATTGCTCGAGGACGAGCAAGGGTTTAAGTGTGGGGTGTTGATAGTAGACAATAATTATGCAATTTAGATACTATTTACACTCTAATTTGGCCGCACTTTATCAATGTTTGAATGTAAAAGATAACAAAATTCTCTAATTAAGAGTTTTGCGTTTTGCAGGAGCCACTCCGAGCTAGGAGGAAGCTAAAAAGTGTTTTGGAGCCAACATGGAGCGTGGTAGGCCAATCGGAGGATATCACGATCGAAAAGGAGAAAGAAGAGCAAGTGCCAGCTCCGCGGTCAGATCCACGGCCGCGGACAGAACAAGTGTCAAATCCGTGGTCAGATCCGCGGTCCAATACGCGACCGCGGACGGGCTGACGGAAGCCAAGAACCCGGGGTCAATTATGTAATTTCTAGGGCGACTAACCTAAACCTATTTGAAGCCTAATTCGTCCAAAGGAGAGGGATAGCTGTTTTTAGAGAGATTTTGAAGGCAAGAACACGGAAGAAAGACAGAGAATTTCCTTAGAGTTTTTATCTTCTTCTTTTTAATTCCGTTGATGATTATGACTTTGTATAGTGAATTTTTATCTCTTAGTATGAGTAGCTAAACTCGTCATCTAGGGTTGATGGAAATAATTGTTGGATGAAGTCTTGACTATGTTTTGATATAATTTAGCCGTTTTTACTCTATGATTGTTCAACTACGTGTTGTCTTGTGATTAATTGAAAGGGCCCTTGATTAATCGTGTCTAGTTATCTTGTGTTGCTTGAGAAAGAACACTTGATTAGATTGTTGTTGAACAACACCACTTTCGGGTAAGTTAAGAGAATAATTACTTGAATTTAAAAGCAGGGTTAGAGATAACGAAGCTTTGGTGGGATAATTCTGAGTTGCATAAATTGTTAACTAGAGTAGTTCGAGAGAATGCTTCTAGTAAATTATCGTAATTGATCGAGAGATAATTGCGGTAACCCAGAACTCATATTTCTTATAGAGTGTTACGGCGAGATTATAGCTTACGTGTCAAGATTTAATCCGACAATTGGGGAAATCAATAACCCTAGATCATTTTACCATTGAATTCAACTCTATTCTAGATTATTGCTAGTTTTATTGTTATTTTCCTTAGTTAACTAAATTCTACTCATTATCCATTAAAAATCTTGCATCCGGGGATTGTTTGAGCTATTCATTATCAGTGTTAAAAGTTGTAGTAAATAGGTTGTTCCCTGTGGGATTCGACTCCGGACTTGAACCGGATTATATTTGCAGCGACCGCTTAGTCCTTTTTATAAGACATAGTTGGGCGTGATAAATTATCATCAACAGTACTCAGTAAAAAAAATCTTTAAACTGTATCAATTTTTATTTCCTTTTGGGAGCATTCCTACAAGATCTTTTGTTATGCCCTTCTAGTCTGCATTTGCCACATGAAACCTTGTACTTCTTTGCATTTACTTCATCATATGGTTTGTATCTTTGTTTTTTAGGTCTCCCTTGTTGTCTTTCCCAGTAGGTGGCATTACAACTTCTTCAGCTATATATTGTGGCACATTCCATTTGCTTTCATTAGTAGCGGTCTACTGGTATTTCATAAGTCTGCATAAGGCTCTCCCTCGTGTAATAAGGAGAACTATAGTTTTCAGAATACTCGTTCTTGTGCCTCAAAGCCGCCAAAGCATGTGGACAAGGAAGTTCATCAAGTTGGAATTGTCCACAACTACATCTCTTGTTTTGAAGGCAAACAATGAAGCGCTTCACACTATCTATCACATTATGGATGTAATTTGTTGAAGCCCTCACCTACAATTTTATTACAAACACACAACAAGTTGTCAGCAACAGATATAAAATTAAATAACTACAATTATACAACAATATTTCTACAATTATCAATATATATTAAGTTTGATAGAATCAATGATTTGATGTTATTGGCCATAACTTACTCTCATCTTTTGCGATAATGTCATGTTGTCCTCCAACTCTTTGTTGTATTTTTTCCCAAGGTATGTGAATATACCCTTTGCATTCAATATGTTTTCAATAGTCCAACGTTCAAGAAGAGTCCTCGTGTACTCTAATAGTTCTACTATGGGCAGCTCTCTTGCATCTTTGATTACCGCATTCAATGAATCTGCAATGTTTGATGTCATGGTCTATGTCTCGTTCACCGTAGCATGTACCCAAGACCATATGTGATAGCCAATATCGTATAGGTATGCTTTAACACATGTGTCGATCTCTTCAATCTTTGATATTCTTTCATTAAATTCATCAAGCGTGTCTGATCGTGCCATGGCAAAGTACAATTCGCTTAACTTTAGATGACCCTTCTTGAACTTTGACCTTACATTTGTCCAAATATACCACATGCATGTATAATGTGGTATGCCGGTATAAACAGTATATGTTGCCTTCAAGATACTCTCATTCCGGTCCGAAACAACACGCATATTTGATTTCTCACCATATGCATGTTTGAATTGCTCAAAAAGCCACGTCCGTGATGCGTCATTTTCTGAATCAACAACGATGTATTCTAGTGGTAATATGCTACCTATCACATAGGTAGCAAAATGAAATTCAATTTTTATAATAAAACTTGAAAATATAAAAAATACAGTCTCAAAAATAACTTTATAACAATATATTTTTCAATTAATCTACATTACCTGCTACATCCATTGTGCTAGTTGTTAGCATGATTTCCCTATATGCCGACATCAAGAAGATGCCATCAACTACTACAACTGGCCTACAATGCTCCCAACCCTTGATGGACGTACTAAGTGCAACAAATGCATACAAGAAACAGTCATCTTCAGTCTTCTGCAATTTTACTACCAACTCCGGATAAGTCTTCTCCAGAATATACAAATAACTCGTCAAGCGACTGTAGGAATCAGCAGGAAGACCTAAAAATTTCAAAGCCTTTTCCTTTACTCTCCAAGCTTGCATGTATATTAAGTTCACACCATGATCCGATAATATGTCAGTTTGTATGTCTTTTGGTGTGTATATTGTCTTAGGATTCGCATATTTTGGCATCTACATGTTGCCAACTACCATGGCAGTAGGTTTGCGTTGTATATATGTGTTGTCCATCAAAGAGCATGTGTGCAAGATGTTGAATTTTCGAACCTTAAACAATGTTGATTCATTTATGCTGGTGGACTTGAAGTGACACATACAATTGTCCCCAACACATACGAGGCAGTAGCTACAGAATAAAAATAATTCAAAAAATATTATGCTAATTGTAGCTACAGAATACGAGGCTATTTATGCATAACAACTTGTCTTAAATAATTTTTATACAAAAAACCTACAACTTATACACAATATAAATTTGACAAATAAAATATTCCTACCTTCTTGCAGTAGACCTTTTCACCCTAAGTTGAAACTTATTCATGAAAGAATAGTGCTTCATTGCACTGATAATTGTTTGCTTGTCTTGGAAAACTTGGCCTACTTCAATTACATTTGGTCTATGTTCTATTATGATGATACTTTCATATTTCACAATTGCCGGAGATATTGGCATATCAATCAACTTCACTGTTCCTGATACTTCTCCAATTATGTTACAATTGCTTGACAATTGTACCACGTTAGACATACGATAATCAGATGAACCTGCACTCAATTAAAAGTATAGTAATTCAGACCTCTATGTATTCATGTGTTCAATATTTGACAGAATACTTGTAGAAACATAACAGTTGAACTACATTTGTTATGTAGTATTATTGTAGATAATTTGTAGTAAATTTGTAGAACACTTGGAATTGAAAAAATATCAGCACTGAAAAAATAGAGCAAACCTGCAATTGTGCTCGAATTCGAGATAGTGCATTCCAAATAGAAATCACGCATTGTTAATACCCAGCTGATACATTCCTAAGTTTTTTTTCCTTTTTCGTCTCCATATACACTTGAACTCCCATATCATTCTGAATTTTCATTGGAGGACAACGTTCGCTGATAGTGTATCTGATTTTAATGATTTTTGCGGAGGAATCGATCATTAGATGCTCTGCAATTGCGGAGTTCAATTGACTATAATTTGAATCTTCATTAACTATAATTCCATCAACATCAAAATCTTTGTATCTCCCAATGCTATCCCACCGACCATTTAGCTGAAGCATAATCGCTAATTTTGACATTATGTCGCGAAATTCAATACAATTGTAGCTAATTGTTTGCAATTGTTTTCTTCAAAACCTTCGTTTATGGAAAACCAGAGAAAACCAGAGAATAGAACTTGATTATGGTGTGATGATAATCAGAGAAAATCTGTGTAATAGCAGGATTCTACAAATACGTAGGCTTGATTAAGGTGCGATGATTGTGTCAGTAAAATCTCTAATTGAAACATAAGCAATCCCAAAATCCGCGTCTAAATAAGGAAGACTACCGTAGAAAGGAGTCTACTTTAAACAAATGTATATTTTTTGTAGCTAAAACTTATTTAGGTCGGATAAATACCAAAACTTGAATATTTTTGGTAATAAAGTTTCAAATAGTATATAGGAATGAAAAAATCCCTATTATTATTTGACTAGTGTTTTATGGCTTGTTCCTGTCATAAATTCTTATACACATTTTCTTGGATAAGACTCAAAATTAAAAATAAACATAAAAAGAAGAAAGTGATTATAATTGACAAATTATACTTGAAAATAAAAATAGGTGAATTTTTTTCAGTACTTTGATAAAGTACAAAACGTGGTAGGGTCCCTTTTCCTTTGGTTTACGTAAAGTGCGCTCTTTCTCTCTTTTTGCCTCTTTGAGTTTCAAGAAGACCACAGACTGTTTAGAACAATGAAAAAGCAAATGCAAATGCAAATATAGGATTGAGGACCAAAGCGTGGGGTCTCTTAATTTCACCTCTTTGCAGAGACCTCCCACATTTGGGACTACGTTCCTCTCTTTAATTAGTCTCTACATCCCTCTTTTGGTAATTCAAAATTTTTCCTCCTTTGTTTTGTGGTGTAGTGAATTATATCAAAAGCATATCATATGAAGAATTGATGTGAAATTTCCTTCTTTTTGATCATTTGATTTGTAAATGATTGCTCTTAATTTTATCAAATTATTTCAATGCTTTGCTATTTCATTAATCATTTGTTTTGTTGCATCGTGCACAATGGCAAATTCATAAGTTAGACGTTGTGGGCTGATTTTGAAATAGAGTATATTATTTAATTCAATCTATACCTGTTATTCACACATACATATAATGTCCGACCCTAGAGCGAACCGAAAATGTTTAAATTCCATTTATGACAACTTTTTATTTTCCATGATAGAAAAATGATATACCAAGGTGTTGTTTGATTAAAATTCCCAATTTTAAACTTGGATTAAGGTCAGCTTAGAATGATTCATATATGTGATCTTAACCTATATTCTGGATTTAGTGTTTGTTAATCTTATTTTGCCTTCAAATTTGGACTTTTTTTTAAATTTTTCCTTATTGGGAACCTCAAATTGCATTTGGTGAAAGCTTAAAGCATCTCAAGATTTGTCTAGAGCACAATTAATGTGCATATTAAAAAGCATTTTCAGGCTACTATTTGTGTTCATCATCCTTTAGGATTTCTGAAGGGGAGCTTGGAGCAGCGGTAAAATTGTCTCCATGTGACATATAGGTCTTGGGTTCGAGCCGTGAATGTAGCCACGAATGCTTGCATTACGGTAAGTTGTCTACATCACACCCTTCAGGTGCGACCCTTCGCCCGGACTTAGCGTGAATGCAAAATGCTTTGTGCACCGAGTTACCTTTATATCCTTTAGGATTTCTGGTCCAAAAAGGGAAAACTAGAGGTTGTTCTAAAGAACCGATGCACTAAGCTCCCGCTATGCGCTGGTTCCGTTGAAGGTTCGGACCAAAAGAGAGTATTGTACACAGGCTTCGCTACATTTCTGCAAGAGGCTGTTTCCATGGCTCGAACTCGCGACCTCCTGGTCACATTGCAACAACTTTAGCAGTTATGCCAAGGTTCCTCTTCAGAGGTTGTTCTAGTTATGACATTTAAAAGGTGTCCATAGTAAAGCTATATGTTAGTTATGAATTAATCACTTCGAACATTGATCACCTGCAGATATTTCTTTAGAAATGGAAAGTTCAAATGGATCATCAAGCTTGAAAAATTTCTCCTTTTCAAACAAGCAGTTGATCATGGACTCCACTTCAGAGGGATCGGGTCACCATCATCGGTGTAACTCGGAGAGCTTTCTTATAGAGGAGCAACCTTCTTGGCTTGATGACCTTTTGAATGAACCGGCAGAAACAGTAGCTGTACACAAAGGTCATCGCCGTTCAGCTAGCGACACTTTTGCGTACGTAGGAGCAGCTGCAGAGAGGTTAAACACAAGGGAAAATAACAACAATGTAAATGTAGGAGGATCTTCAATCAACTACGTCAGTTACAAAGATCATTTTACTTCAGTTTCCTACGACACAAAGCCAACTTCTGCTAAGGTGTGCATGCCCTATTAAGATAAAATTTAGCTTGTACAGAATTGTTTTAATACCTGAATACGCGACCGAGACATGACTTCTGAAGCTAATGAGGATCCTTCTCCACATATAGGCTGCTCTGGAATTGAATGAGAAGCATAGCAGAGAGGTCATAAGTACACAAAACAAAGAGGGCTCTAATGAAAGATCAAACAATACACAAGCCAAACATTCCATGTCCAAGGCTGATGCAAAACGTGCTAAACAGTAAGGTTTCATTACAATGTCAACTACTAGTTGAATCTGAATTACACAAGCCAAACATTCCAGTAAGGTTTTAAAGAGTACACTGCTGTATATAAATCTAAATTATGCAGGCAATCTGCTCACCGATCACGTGTCAGAAAACTTCAGCATATAGCTGAACTTGAAAGAACAGTTCAAGCTTTGCAGGTACATACTGCAAAATTGCCCTATTTCTTGGATTGGCCTAATAACTGACTTATTTGGACAACCAAGATTCTTATTTTCTTGAGCCTAGGGTCTATCGGAAACAGCCTCTCTACCTTCACGAGGTAGGGGTAAGGTCTGCGTAAATACTACCCTCCTCAGACCCCACTTGTGGAATTTCATTGAATATGTTATTGTTGTTGTTTATTTTACTTGGTAAAAGTAAGTGTCTGATAGATTTTATCTTAGTTCAATATTTGCCTTTTATATCCTGAGTTTAGAAAGTTATATATATTAGTAATGGGAAGCATTGATGTGTCTTTTTGTTTAGCTATCAAAAATAGTGATAATACAATACATTGACTTTGTATATGCACTTCCCCTCAAAAAATTTACTTTCAAAGAAGGCGAAAAAAGGGAGAAACAAGAATTGTAACACATTTTTATGTGCTGAGATTTCAGGCAGAAGGATCTGAGCTCTCTGCTGAGCTAGAATTTCTTGACCAACAAAATATTATACTGAGCATGGAGAATAGAGCCCTGAGGCAGCGTTTGGATAGCTTATCACAAGAGCAGCTCATAAAACATTGTATGTATCTTTCATGTTTATCTTTCATGTTAATGTTTACAGCCTTATTATTACTCAGCATTGAGTTATATATGTTGCATGCATGCTTTTTAATGCCAACATAATTGTTCCGTAGAAAAACTTAAAGAGCATGTTTTAATGATGCAGTGGAGCAAGAGATGTTGGAGAGGGAACTTACAAGGTTACAAACTCTGTATCAGATGCAGAGGCAACAAATGCAACAACAACAGCATCAGCAGCCACAACAGCAGAATCACTCTAAACACCGTCGAAATAAAAGCAGAGATCTTGAAGCCCAATTTGCCAACCTCTCAATCAAGAACAATGAAGCCAGTTCCAGCAGAGTTCAGGTTACTGGTTCAGTCCGGATGTAAATGAGACTCGGCCTTTTTACAGCGCCAAGTGGAATGTCTCAATCTTTCCTTTTCCACTTAAATATCGGGATTCAGTATTACTAAAGAAAACTTTTAGAGTAAAAGATGATTGAAAATTCTGCCCTGCCATGTATATTCTTAGGCTTCTACTACAGCCTAGTCCTAACTGAACCAATAAATTGTGCAGATGTGGAAGTGAGGTTTGCTGTAAATTGTGACTAAGGTGACCATCCATTCTGCTTTCAAGTTTCACACATGTAAACATGTTCTGCATAGTAGAGATGGTTTTTGTATTAATGCAGATTCCAATAAATTTCTTGCTTATTGTTCAAACTTGATGCTAATGTTGTCAATGTGGTACTTCTAAACAAACACCATATTTGATAGAAAATTCATCTCCCTAATCACCTTCCTCCTTTCTTTTATTAAAACAAACAAGGAAATTGAAACTCCTTCCTTTTTTTCCTTACCTAGTCGCCAAAAAGGGGTCAAATCACAACAGCAAAAAAAATAGGTAGCCTGGTGCACAAAGTATCCAACTTTCCTGCAGGGGTCCTGGGAAGAGCCGCACCCCAAGAAGTGTGATGTAGCCAGCCCACCCTAATGCAAGTATTAGTGACTGCTTCCACGGCTCGAGCGTGTGACCTACAGATCACACAAAGATAACTTTACCATTGCTCCAAGGCTCCCTTCGGTCAAATCACAGTTGACGCAAAATATTTCCCATGAGATACACTGTATAGACCAGCATAAAGTTGAAAGTATAATCAGCAAAATGAGCAAATGGGTATCAAGAGTTTTGGCAAATTAGCCTGCAATTGCAACACATTTTACTCATTTTATCGGGTCCAGCTGAAAGACAGTGTTACAATCTTTTGTCATCTCTTTAACTTAACATGACAGAATCAGTAGGAGAAGAAAAGGGAAAATTACTCTAAACACTCATAACTGAATCTCACATTCCAAAGCATTTGATAGAAACTTTACAGAAATGTACACAACAAAAGCACCAAGGATGGTGGGATATTAGACAAGCTTTGCACCTTTCAAGCATGAAATCCTATAATAGAAGTTTCTTATGGTCAGCCTCGACGAACCATACAGACTCATAATTTCCTTGGTTCTCCCTCTGATGGAGTGTATTTCTGATTAGCAAATGAAGCTGTCAGCTTAAAAACCTTTTTCGTGATGTTTGTTGTGCATCAAAAGGCGAGAGCAGATCAGGTTGAAGATCCTGTAGCAGACACCTTCAAGCTCCTTTATAGAAACTTCAGGGTGCTCTAGAGAAAAAGAAATGAAAAAGATGAGATTAATAAAAAAGAGAAGCATGAAACCAGAATGAATTTATCAGTAAAAGCATCTTGTACCTCGATCCAAGTTAAGTTCAGAAAGCCAGTTGACCATTATACTCTGATATACCTCAATCAAGATGTAATATCAGCTTAATCATGTTGAAGAGGCAAGTTTCGTGGATTTTATGGCCATCGCCGCCTTAATAAGGAAAACAGGAAGCTCCACTAACTTGTTAGGATCTGACTTCCAAGCATATCAGTCTTAGGATTTTACCCTAATTAAATAAGGTTGCAGACATTAAATAAGAACCTTATTTAACAATTTCCTTACATGCCCTGAGGAAGCGTCGTCGAAAGTTCATTGTACAGCAATTGTCCAGCAGGCCATCTCCAAACATATGTCCAGTGTCAATTCAATGAAGCTCAACTCGCCAGTTCTCTTTCCAAGGAGAAGTCTTTAAGTTAATTCAAGTTTAGTTCCTTTTCATGACTTTCCAAGATTTCCTCTTCCTTTTCCACCTTAACAATGCCATCTTGTCACATTTCAACATACGATATTGTTGTCGATGCTTTAGCCAGGAAGGGTAGTCCTTTCCTTGCTTGCACTCAATAAAATCAGCTAAGTCATCAAAATCAGGGACTCGTTCAGAATTCCCTAGTCTGCACTCAAGAAATATCTTCCCGTTGGTTGTTTCCTCCGTTTCCTCTGCCAATTCCTCCGTTTCCTCTTCCATTGCTTCAAAATTTTCTTTTCTGTAAAGCAAAGAGGTGCTTATCTTTGAGCTATCTTCCTTTCTTCTATGGTTATCAGTTAGTAGAATAAGGTAAATGGGTGGATTAAAGGAGGGAGGTAAGAGGTAAGCATGAATAAGATAACTACGAAGTACAAAATCATGTATGCAACAGCCAAAACTTCATTTAAAAATGGAACAAAAAATAAAATTTAAGAAGCAACTACTTTGTCCAGAATTTTCCTAGTCCTCCAAATGGTTATATGTTATATATTTTTTTTAAAAAGATCAGATATTTAAGCTTGCAAATTTGAAACTGAACATGGGTAATTTAAAAGAACAAACATTGCACTAATCATAATATTATGAAGTAATACAGACACCATGCCCAGTTACAACGAAGCATACTACAGCGAAAACTATCAACAAGAAAAGACAGAAGCATAACAACAACAACAACGACCCAGTGAAATCCCACTAGTGGGGTCTGGGGGTAGTGTGTATGCAGACCTTACCCCTACCCCGAAGGAGTAGAGAGGTTGTTTCCGAAAGACCCTCGGCTCAAGAAGACCAAAAGGACAAAACGAGACAATATCAGTAACACCACAGAAATAATATGAAAAATAGGAACAACATGAAATCAAGAAGAAAGATACAAAGCAAAAGCGAAATAGTATCCCTAACAAACTAGTCTCACAAAGTCATGACATAAGTCAAGACTCAACTACCTCCTAACCTACAACCCTAATACTCGACCTCCACATGTTCCTATCAAGTGTCATGTCCTCGGAAATCTGAAGCCCCGCCATATCCTGCCTAATCACCTCCCCCCAATACTTCTTAGGCCGCCCTCTACCTCTTCTCGTGCCCGCCACAACCAGCTGTTCGCACCTCTTTACCGGAGCATCTGGGCTTCTCCTCTGAACATGCCCGAACCATCTGAGCCTTGCTTCCCGCATCTTGTCATCAATGGGAGCCACGCACACCTTCTCCCGAATATCATCATTCCTAATCTTATCCATCTTAGTATGCCCGCACATCCACCTCAACATCCTCATTTCTGCTACCTTCATCTTCTGGGTATGTGAGTTCTTAACCGGCCAACACTCAGCCCCATACATCATGGTCGGTCTAACCACCGCTTTATAGAACTTACCTTTGAGTATCAGTGGCACTCTCTTGTCACACAATACTCCAGATGCTAACCTCCATTTCATCCATCCTACCCCAATACGGTGTGTGACATCCTCGTCGATCTCCCATCCCCCCTGGATAACCCAAGGTACTTGAAGCTGCCTCTACTCGGGATGACCTGTGATTCAAGCCTCACATCCACGCCCACTTCCTCCTGCTCAGCGCTGAACTTACACTCCAGGTATTCCGTCTTCGTCCTGCTAAGCTTGAAACCTTTAGATTCAAGAGCGTGTCTCATAAAAGGAACGAAACCAGCTTGAAGTCTTGAACACATAACTACACTATCATTGTGTTCTTTTTAATGATGTAAATAATTATATTGATATGGTAGGAATAATTCCACATAAAATTTCACAAAATAGTATAGAATCTCAAACCTTAAATTATAATTCTCAACAAACAGAATCCATTCATTTACACTGCACCGGAAGTGTCAAAAATAATTTGTACAACGTATTTTCTACTCGTTTTGAGAAGGAAGGTATTTTCAACTCTTCCAAACGATCTTCTATTCCTTCCTTTCTATATTTACCACATGGACACTACCATGCTTTTCTTCTCAGGCTTTTCCTCCTGATTTTCCATCATAACATGATATCTGACATCACAACTTCAATAATTTCCACATAACACGCCATAGCTTCTATGTTACCAGACAGTAAAATAACAAACAATAGACTTCTTTTTCTTGCTCTCTAGAACATTTACCAACTTATGTAAACAGTTTTTATTTTCATTTCAAGTATTATGCATTTAGAATGGATCTCAAGTTGTTGTCCACTCAAAAAAGCAAATCTTGTCAGCGCCCTAAGTATCCACAGTTGAGTGTCGAAAATCCATTTCCTTCGAATCTTGAAGATACATCCCTCTGCCCTATTCATCTCCAACTATCACTATCCATATGTTAGATTTTCTGCTGATGAGCGACCAAGCAATTTTCCTGATCTTAACAGATTCCTCTGAATTTTAGGTCCATAGGATTCACCCTTCCAATTTATTTGCAGAACTGCTGGTGTCTGCTAGCAAGAAATATCGAATACAATCCGAAGTACTTCACAGAAGGCGACATCTCAGCCACTATATATGTTTTCATAAACCGATTCCTAGCTCTTTTTCCTGGTTTCAAGCGTTTCCGTAGAAACTATCCCACATTGTCCTAATATTCCTTCATAAAGCTACTCTACACCGCAATCTGATATGAAATGGGCCAAAATGGACCAAAATGATCTGAACAATTTTTGGATGAAGAAAATGATCTTAATGATTCATATAGCTGACTTTCACTAGTCTAGGATTGTGGAATATTAGTAGTCATAGTATGTTTAATTATTTCTCTGCAGTAAGGAGAATATGACTATGTTGCCGTCACTTCTGCTGCGGCAGTTCCCCTTTAGAGGTGGTGTCGACTTTCTGTATGATCGATTACTCAATTTTTTGGATACTTGAGTTTGCAAAGCTCAGTTTTTGAGTTGTTTTTTTAAATAACAAAAGGAGTGTTTATTGAATTATTGCCCCCCCCCCCCCCCCAAAAAAAAAAAAAAGCAACTAACTTCTTTTGAAGATTTTCCACACTCGGGCTTCCAAATTTTTCAGAAACTTGAAAACTCGTTCTTTTCCCAAAAACAGGTCAAATACACACTTTCTCCCAAAAAACTCAAAAGTTGAGCTTTTGAAAAGCTTCAAACAAATGCCAGCTTGAGCCTCAAAGAGCCCCTGCAGAGGAATCTCTAGGAAACAATGTGAAGTGGTTTCACCCATGAGCCTTTCATTAACAATCTCAATAGTATTAGAGCACTACATTTCAAATTTTCAAATGAAAAAAAAACATCCAGTATAATACCAGCTTGGTACTACAATACCAAACAAAAATTACAGCTAGATAGATGTACAGAAAGATAAAAATTCATCCTAAATTAAATATCGTCAGTTCAGTATTTCTGTAGAGTTGCGGCTAATTTTTATCTTGGAGTCTTGGAGGCCCACTATTTCTACTTTTATGGGCCAAATATAAGCTCACTCCTGTGGGATTAAGTTGTTTCTCAGTTGAATGATTTTGGAGAAAGCTAATCCTATACTATATGATCACAATATCACTTTTAATAATTCAACTCTTCTCCAA